TATTTCAAAGCAGATATGCGTCTACAATAAAAATAAATTCTGAAAAGAAAAACGAAATGGCGCACGTCCGAAAGACGAGTCTAATGGACCCCACAGACATCGGGGCAAAATTCTAGGCCGTTCTGTCGAAGCCTTACAAGATAACATGCACGTGTTTGCATTTCCGATTGTTCAGACCCTTTAATGCTTCACTAAAGTCAATTGTATTTCGATTCAAACGCTAAGTAAATTTCATTTTATAGCTACTGTCATTTCGGGTGAGACTTCTTAAATTTTCTAAAAATATATTTCTAAAACTATTCGACATAACGACTATTTTTATAAACAACAGTTTGAGTCACCAGTAAAATTAATTTTCTCAATTAAATTTCACCCATGCATGTTTTCATATAATTAAAAAAAAAAGATTGGGTGACTTGAGACAAGAGCGTTTTCAGACGCACTACTCATGTTTGAAATCAAGAAATTAACTCAAGACTCAAAAGGATTTTTTAAAAAAGTATTGCGAATTTTGTAAACTATAATTATTCACAAATAAAATTATTTCCTTTAAATACAATTTATTTGTCTAAAAACAATTATTCACCAGAACACAAAAATAAAGTGGTCAATACATTTGACTAGACCCACCTAGGGTTATGGATTTCGATGCGCTGAATCCGAATTTGAGATCCATTTAGCCCGTACACCCTCAAAATTTTGAGTCAATTGTAAAAACCGCTAAAATGCCAAAAAAATTACAATTTACTCAAAATGTTGAAGGTGTTCGGGATAAATGAACCTCAAATTCAGATGCAGCGCATCGAAATACATAACCCCCTAGGTGGTCTAGTCAAATGTACCGACCACTTTTTTTTGTGTGTCGGTGTTATTGTAATGTTAAAAACTTAATCTTCGGCATTTTCTAAGTAATATAGGCAATGTCAAAATTGGTATAAAATATATAATTAATAATATTTATGGAAAAAAAAAATAAAACTACAGGAACAATTAGATACATAGGTAGGAAACAAACATTAAATTAACCTTCAATAGAAAAATAGTGCCTTCCTCATTTGATAAAGTTTGGTTTGATATGATAATAATTTAAATTATGTTTATGTCCAACGTATCAGAGACTTGTGAAAAGACAGAAATATTTTTTTACACATTTTTTTTTCCTTTTTTTCAACGGATTCATATAATGTGCAATGTTGGAGGGCCAAGACCAGTATAACTCATTAGTGCGTAATTGATCGAAATTTCAATTTGTGTTATAGACACTCAAACATGTTTCAACTAAAAATTACATGGATTTGAAAAATACATTTTATTTCAATTTAAGAATGCTTTTTTAAAACTCTATTCAACCCTAGAATCTTTTTAAAAAATATTACAGGATTGCCAAGCAATTAATTATTTTGTGAAATCATAAAATGATGCAGACCCCAAATTAAATTATCATAATATAGGTAGGTTAGCAATGATTTCAAAATTGTTTAAAATACAGACTTACAAGATACCAAGCTCACGAAGTGTTTTGAGACATGTCTTAAATATGGCTAATTTTAAGTTCAATTTACTCAATTTTTTTTCAAATACAATACTCTGTATCATTTGAGCAAAAAATTCTTTATACATTTATATATCCAACGATAGCAACAGGTTAGCCAATTTATACATATATGCGTAATTAAGCCGTTTTATTATTGTAAATACGAAAACACTTTTAATATAAAAGTTGTATGACCATATTTAGCAATTATTCTTAAATATACAGGGTAGTTCATGAACGAGGGGCTGGCCAAACTTATACTTTTTTAAAGCAAAACACCCTATAGGTAGTAACACATACTTGATTGTTTTCACACCGTCTAACAATTTTAATAGACCATTCATTTGCTGTTGTATGAAGGGTATGTCAAAACTCAAATTTACGACTTTCTTAATTTTTTAAATGAAATACCCTGTATGTTATAGCACTAATTAATTCATTAATTTCATTTTTTTTGCATTCCTTATACCAAAACACATTTTTGTGACGCGTCGGGAGAACAGAAAACCATTCACAATTTTTGAAAAATGGGTTAACAAAAATTTTAAGCGTTTCTTCTTTTGTTTTTAATTGTTATAAAGTTGTACCTGTAATTATCTAGATGTTTTAAACTGTGTAATTTAGAGCTACTGATGATAATAAGAACACAAAATATTTTTATTTTCAGAAGAATTAGGTTGAAAATAGGATTTTTTTAATTGGAGAATTATAAAAATTAAATTTATTTATAAATTGGTGGTAAAACACACACGGAATTGCATTTAAAAAAAAATGAAATTACCGTACTCTTGCATTTAGGCACACCCTGTATATATGGTAACAAATGAATGAAAATAGAAGACATTTTAGTTATTTTAAGTCTATTAAAATTGTTTAACGATGTGAAAACAATCAAATCTGTCATCCCAATTGTCGAGTCTAAAAAAGTATAAGTTTTGTTCACCCCTCATTTTCTGTATATTTAAGAATAATTGTAAAATATCGTCCTACAACTTTTGTATTAAAAATTTCTTCGTATCCTCAATAATAAAACAGCTATCAATCACATACCCTGATGGGACACCCTGTATATGATTAGTTGGATAACATGGTTGCTATCGTTGGATAGGTAAATTTATAAGTAATTTTATGCTAATATAACATACAGGGTGTTCCATTTCCAAAAAATTGAATAAATTAAACTTAAAATTAGCCATATTTAAGACACGTTTCAAGACAATCTGTATAAAATAAACCAGTTCTATCACCACTATTGAAATAATTGCTAACCTACCTAAATTATGATAATTTATTTTGGGGTCTGCACAATTCTGAAATTTCACAAAATAATTAATTGTTTGGCAATACTGTAATATTTTTCTAACATATTTTTAGAGTTGAATATAGTATTACTAGACCATTCTAAGACTTAAATAAAATAAAATCTATTTAAAAAACATAATTTTTATTTGTCAGGCAAAAGCGTAACATCCTGTAAAACCAAAAATATTTTCTAATGGAAAGTAGGGTCATGTGATACCTCATTCGAAAGATATTTTCATTACCTTTACGTCCATGCAAACAATTTTAATTCTTCGTCTTTATAGAAATTACATTAAATAAAGTAATGAAGTAAGTTACATTCTTGATAACCGTCGTATTTACTATTATTGTTTGCGTTACTAACGAAACGCTTTTTATAAATTAAAGAAACTTTAAATAGTTATTTATGCAACAAGTGCAAAAAGTAAGTGTTTATTGCACGCGACGTGAAATTGTCGAGTGCAATAAACACTTTTTGCACGAGTTGCATACAATATTTTTTCTACGTTCATGCAAACACCAACAAATGTTTTATTTAGGCGACACTAAGTGCAGAAGAATAAAAAGCGTAATTTAACAGCAACATATTTAATAACTAATAATTAGCATCGATTAACATTCAAAAAGGTACTATGTTCAGAAAAATAATTTAACCAAAACTTTAGGAACAACTGTGTTATAAACAATAATTAAGCTTAAACGTTGTTTTTGCCACTAATATTAAAAGTAAATGTACAATTTGTACAATTTTCAATATTAATATTTTTTAAAACGTAATACAATCTCACAGAAAATGAAAATGGACTAAATATTTGGCGTCGATTTCAATATTTATGTTTGTCATGATCATAAAAGGCTGTAGTAAAATGACAGATGAGTGCAATAAAATGTTTATTGCACTAGTGCAATAAAGAACCAGTTTTTTCACTAAATATAGTTCAATAAAGTTTTGTTTTTTACATGAACGTAGAAAAATATTATTTATGCCGTTATTTAACACACTATTTAATTTCTTTAATTTGTAAAAAGCGTTTCCACACAATGAAATAAATTGTTTAGTAAAAATATTTCAATGATCGTCCACAGTTAGGATAAGAATTATAAAAAAAAGTTTTTAAGAGTGTTTTCTATTCCAGGAATTATGTAAAATAAAAACTGTTGCGCAAAAAACACCTAACGTCTTGATGGACGCTTCAAACGGTACCTGAAACAGCTCCTAGATGTCTTGGTATAGAATAATTTCGGTATGAAGGCAGTCGTTTGAATTGCAACGTTGCCGGATATATTTAACGTAATTTCGAAAGTTTTGTCTCAAGTAACCCGGCCGTCTCAAGTCGCTCTAAATGACGGTATGATTTAAAAATTACCAAGTTTAAGGGTATATTCCGATATTAACCAACTACAAACCATAACTAAGCAGTATTTTTGACAACAGTTCCTGAAAAAATCCAATATTTGTTGGTTACATTTGGACCACGGACCGTGAGTCGCGTCACTTTTGTGAGAGAATGACATTCGACTTAACGGTAATCGTAAAAATATTCCGGTTAGTGGATTGACGTTTGAGTCACCATTTTTCAGGAAACCGCATCCCTAATTTAACCGGTTCTTCGGGAATGTCAAGAGAGTGGTTATTTTTGGACCGAGTAACCGATATTTCGGTTAACATCGGACCCATACCCTTAATATATACGGTCGTTTTAAATAGTTTAATTTTTTTTGAGCCACTAATGTATAAGCATGACCTTAAATACTCGAAATTATTTTAACAGTTATTTAAAAATATTTGATGTTATACTCTTTTTTTTAGGTAAACAAAATATAGGAATATATAAAATAAAAATTAAAAACTCACCAAATTATCTTGAATTCTCCGTTTCACGTAGTCCAGAAATAATGGTCCATTTAAAAAAAAATGGACACGGGATAGGTTAGCAATATTTTGTACTTTACTGTACATTCAATTAACCAGTTTTTTTCTTATAAAAAAGAGCACATTAAAAATACAGTAAACTATACAATGCAGAGGTGAAATATGCATAATTTTCGTCTATAAATTTATATTAATTAAGAAATAATAAACTATTCAAATGTGTATTACGAAAAAATTTTTAACTTGAATTTACCAGTTTACGTTTTCTATATTAATATTCTTTTACAGCCGCGAGCATATATTCTTCTACCTACCTACTAAATAAATTTATTCTATCTCAAAAATATTTATTTAACGGCTTAATACTTAAATCAATACTTAGAATTACAATATTTACACTGTTTATAGGCAGATATAAATGTCCCTACAAAAAAAGAAAAAATGGACAATCGAACGTATTATAATAAATATTTTAATAAATATTGATTAAATGGACAATTTCGATTCAGTTCCGATTTTTATTTTTAAATCAACCAACTGGCTAAATCTGGAGTTTACACTCAGAAGTGGAAAATTTTCCACTGCAATGATTACCATGATTAATAAAAATGTTGACAAGGAAATATAAAATAAAATGAATTTTTTAATCAACAGAGAATAGGCGATATCCGTTTCACATGGCCCCATACCATTTTATCTGCTATTTCATTTTGATCCATCCCATTGAAAATTAAAGCTCCTGCAAACAAATATATATATACAAATATATTTTCTATATATTTACATTTACCTAAATTAAAAATTTCGAAAAGGTAATTTTCCAAATCTTTGATGTAGGAGATTTAAGAACAGGACGAGATTATGCAGTGGGAAATTTCTGGTCAGTTTATGTGGTAACTTTTCAGATTTAGCCAATTCGTTGAGGAAACACAATTTAATAAAAAAAAAACATTCTAATTGTGAACAGTCCACATACCATGTGTGCTTTTCTGTAAAATAAAGAACCTAAAAACTCAAGATTCAAAATCGAAATTAAATGAGATATTCATGTTGCTCTAAACAAGAAATTAGCACAAATGAAAGACTAGAATTGTAAATTTTACGTCAATATAATATATACAACACTGTGGACAAAAGTATGTTGCACTTTCCCAGGATTTGACATAAAATGAGAGATCAGTTTTTCCACAATTGTACAAATAATAAATCTCAATATTATTTCGAAAACATTGTATAAAGTAAAAATAAATAAAGTGAAAAATAGCCCTAACTTATATTCAAACTTTAAATTACTTACAATAAAATAAAGTATCGAAATTAAATACGGAAAATTTTCCGTGTATTCAGGAAGTCGATTAAATAATAGTTATAATGATTTGGTGTTACGTTAAAAAATAATGTGCAAAAAATACCTAATACAATGCGCGGTAAAGGTAACTAATAAATAGCTTTTTTTATTAGTTACTTTCGTCGCAGCCCATTTATGTCTAAAGACTACTTACCATCGTAATAAAAATAAATTGGAACTACTGTTAATAGGAATCTTTAATCTTTAACTATCACATAAATTAAAAAGAAGAAAAAAGATAAAAATCGCTTAATTGGTACCGAAGATATATACAAAGATTACCTCGTTAAAAAAATTAGCTCTAATATTCAAAAAGTAAGTGTCAGATTCACAGCCCATCAAGAACAATGACAAAGCAAAAATAGGGTTCGGTCTCACCTTCGTCAGTATGTCGGCCCATATCCCTATTATCAGAAAAATTGCTCTTAAACACTAAAATCGATAACAAAAACCACCAATTTGCTTGTAGACAAAAACAACTATAATAAACCAAGACCATCATATTAAAGATGTCATTAAAGGATAGCAGCCGATTTCTTGACATAACTCAAACGTTCTACAAAGTTTATTTTCTATTTTATACTTTTTTTAGTGACTGTTAGAATAATTATAAACATATTTAAACCGATCCATTATTTTTGCATATTAATTACATATACCATCTTATAAAATTATTATCTAAATTAAAGAAAAATAAATTATTTTAAATTTACAATTGAAATCCAAATATGGTAAGATTTTGTTACGAAAAATAAATCAGAGAACGAATGATTAAGTGCACCATACTTGCGTCACACTGAGAATGTTAAGACAACAAAAATGTATGAAGATAATAATAAACTCTAGTCGTCTGGAAAATCATAAAAAGAGTAACTGGAATACTGCGCATTACTATTAACATTTGAGCTTAGATTTGTACCGTCCGAGGGCAAAGGTACCGGAAGCGGCTTGGCAGGCTTGCGGGGTCTGTAAGTCCCTCTAGAACCAGCGTTAGGAGGGCCGCCGGGTTTTAAGCGAGGCCTACCAGGACCTCTTCGAATTGTTGTCGTATGCGTATTCGGACTGCTTCCTGGATTCGATATGGGAACGTCCATGAACGTACCTGAAGGTGATGACTGCGATGATGATATTGAAGACGTATCTGTTGGTACCGGATCTGTAGAAAAACGGTTTCAGTCATAACCGTTTCACAAGAATAAATATCTAACCAAAAAGGATATCTCCGATCACGTGATCGGGGGCTTGTAGCCTTTGAGTGCCTCTAAACTAACATTCTAAACCGAAACTTTCAATAGAGTAGCGCACTTACACGTCAGAAGGTATCGAAAACTTGATTTAAAATTATTATTCTGTTGTTTCTGTTTTTGGTGTGGTTTAGCGATAGTAACAATAAAATTGCTTATTTATGTACAAATGGGGCGAGATAGCCCCGTTCTCGAAGATACCAGACTCGAGCATATTGGGAACTACGACGTTCCCGGCTGTTTTCTAGAGCTTTCTCGTAACAGATTCAACGGCCACATCGCCCAGACGCTCTGACGACAATGAAGCAGGACCGAGACTGGTTGAAAATGGCCGCACGACAGTACTTTTTAAATTGTACTATTAAAAATGGTGGGGACATTTAAAAAACCTGATATTTCAAAAATGGACGTCATAAAAAAATATATGGGTACCATAATATGAACAACTAAAAAACAAAATCGGCCTGCCCGGGCAATAATTACTTGACCAATAAACATTTGATCAAATTTCTTCCAACCTTTATATGCTCATTGTATTATTGGACATATATATTTTTATATACATAAAAATAAACTGCAGTATTCTTGAGCCCAGCCAAATTAAACCATATAATAATAAATGTAATAAAAGAAGCAAAATAAGCTTCGGACAAGGATATCTTTACTTTTTTTGCACTTGTTCCAGAAATAATAAAAACACGTTTCAATAAATTTATTAAAAAGCATCTTATTTGTTTTCTCTTTCGTTTAGACTAAGATGAAATCATAACGCGAGATATTAAAAAAATACACAGCTTACTCGTAGTCATTTTCAATTGTATAGAATAGAATTACAAACCTTAAATATTTCTTTTTCAAATTTTAGGCATTAAAAAGTAATTAACTACCCAAAATATTACTTTTTTTTAATTAGGTAAATATAAATGTAAATCATTTTTAATATCGAATAATAAAGTTAATCTTTCAAAAAATTATCTGAAATTATACAATTAAATATTAATTTTTGAATTAACAATCTTTTTAAAAACTGTGCAATTAAAATATTACATGCAGTATCTAAATAACTTTAATTATACTTAGTTTAATAAAATAAGTTCGAATAATATAGTAAATCTCACTATAGATAACCTACCTGAAACGATAAATACAAATTTTTACGTTTTAATAATCCTATTAGTATGATGGGTCTCAGAATAATAAAATAGATTTTGTTATATTAATTCGAAACATCTATGCGCGATAATATAGAAACTATTCTTAAAAGTTCTTGAAAAAATAAATAAATACCAACCTAATATTTGTTAATTTTACCGATTTTTCTCTCGGTATACCTACGGAGTACAAGTTAGTAATAACTAAAAAACGAGGTCACATCCTATCGCCTCAACCACAAATCGATTGAATGAGAGATATCCTTCTGATTAAAATTTATTCTTGTGGCTGTTCATCTTTTTCGATTTTCAATTTTTAGAGAATCTCCTACTAAATTTTAAGTTCCAAATATTTGAAGTTAACTCATTTAAAACTTATATTTTAATTGACTTACGTAAAACTCTAAGAAGTCGTACTCCTTTGTGCGTGAAACATCGAGTAGTAAGAAAAATGTAAGATTTAACAAAAACGGAAAATGGAAGCGATGTTAAAAACTTAAAAGAATCATAAACATGAGATATACCAAAAGAGTTCCCGGAAAATTGGTCTAAAACACATGGTCTAAACACAGATGTTCTCTGAAATAGATTTAGTCTAAAACACTTATCTTAAACACATTTTATTTTAAATAAATTTGATCTTTTTACAATGGCTTTAAAATACATTTATTCTAAAATTATTAAATACAAAAATAATTCAAAACTGTCGAGTATGCGGTTCTAGGCTGAGTATTGCTAAATCTTTGATGTTCTAGTGAAACCAAATTTAACAGTAAAATAATTGCTATAAACTAATCAATATCTAAGCACAAAAAAAATTTCAATTAAATATGAAAAATACATGATTTTGAACTGATATAAAAGGGCTCCCAGTATAATAAAAATATTAAATTAATACTTTCAGATTAGAAAGATAACAAAAGGTAAATAAAGTTTATTCATTTCTGATTAATAGTTAAGTAGTAACAAAACTTTAGTTGTTACCATGGATAAATTTACCAAGCATTACAACATTAAGTTCATTGACATTTATTTGGTTTAAATTAAAATCGGCCATGGTTATTGAATTTGTAAAATAGGGCTTCATTAATGAGCCAGATGGGGAGAAAAACATTGTATTTTAAAAGATTTCATTAGTACAAACTGCCACCTACAGGAAATGCCACAATTTTAAATTTAGTTGTAACGAAAGAAATAGAAAAAAATATATATCATTAAATTAATTAATTTTGTATTTTTTTAACAATAACTATTAAATTATCTAAAGTATAAATTCTTTTATAGTATTCAGAATAATTGTTTTTAGATCAAATGCAATTTAGACTAAATGTTTTAAACTACATTTTTTTTAGATTAATTTTCCGGGAAATAACTAATTTACGATAAGAATATTTCTAACGTAATTTTCCACACCCTGTAGATGTACGGTAAAAATTTTCTACATGAAAAAAAAATCAATTTTTTACTACAAAACAGGCGTCTAAATTTGTTATTCTACGTTTGTTGTACATAAATCGTTTTTAAGGACAATCTTGTAAATTCTAAAAATTCAGTTAGAGGTCTGACGCTCCCATTTTTTTAATAAAGAATGGCGCAAATTTGTATTCAAATCACTTGCGAATTGAATGGTGTGAGAAAGTCGCAGAAACTAGCCATCGTCAGCATAGTAGAAACATAAATGTCTTGAATGCATTAATGTTTCTAACGATTTCAAGATGATACAAACACAAAAGCTCGTTTTTCAGAACATCGATATTTAATAATAAGCGTAAATTAAATCAATTTTAAAGTATATATAAAAAAAAAGGAAAACATAACTTTGTTTTTGTCATAAGTTATGTTTTATAGGATGATTTACAAAAGCGGTGTTAACAGCTTTTATGAAAATATAAATTACTTGAGCTCAAAATGGGGGAAGGGAACCGGCAAATTATCATTTAAAGGAAGGGGGTCAATGAAAATATCTCGTTAACTTTTTAATTCAGAAAATATACATTATTATGATAGATAACATTGTGTATTATAAAATCAGTTTTGGGCATAGAAAATATTAAACATTATCTACACTGAGAGACAACTTTGTTTACATGAAAATTTATTGTGTTTATTATGTTCCTAAATGTTTAAAAAAAATAACAAAACTGTGACTGCATCAGAAGATGGGATTTTAATTCCGAAACATATGTAGTGCTGAAATAATAAAAATATAATTCGATCGATAATACCAAAGACGTTTTATTTGTTTATAAAAATTCTACTACAGTGAGGAAATCATACTCTTTCTAAAAACTTTATTTAATTTCAATAAAATTTTATTACTATTTAATAAAACGTTTATTTCACTCGTTCCCAACTAAAACATTTTTAAAAACATTTAGACTAAATTTTATAGATGTTTATTTACACATAATATGAATTCATGTAATACATTAAAAACTATTACATTAAATAAATAATTAAAACTAAATTTTTCAGAGTTTCTAATATTGAAGAATTTTTCGAATTCAGTAGATAATTATGTGTATACATTTTTAATACAATTTACTATTAATAGATCTACAGGTATTAAAAAATTCAATAATAATTTAATAAATAATTGAATAAAACTAAATTTTTCAAAGTTTATATTCTTAAATACAAAGTCTATGATTTTTTAAGTTTAAATATACGCCACAATGACGACAGATTCTAATATTCTAATAACTTTTCCACATAACAATTCAAGTCACATTTAATTAAAACAAAATTTATTTCGTATGAGGTAGTGTCAATTAAAAAATTGAGAATAAATTAAATATGACTGTAAGTAAAGCGAAGCTTGTGGTGATTTTAATAAACACATTTGTATGAAAATAAAATTTTATCAAATATTAATAACATTTTTATTAAATAAAAAAAAAAATAATGAGTACTGACAACTATTCTGACATATTTTTTTTGTCAGAATCCATTAAAAATAAGCCAAATATTATATAAATGTACTTTGTCATGAGGAAATGTGGTCCAATTTTGTTTAAAACGAAATTTAGCGACCTTCGGTCCATAAGTATTTTACCGACGTTATCGAAAATTGTAGAAAAAGTAATTATTAAACAAACATAAATATCACAGACAATGGTATAGACTATGCCACAGATGAAGAAAAGGCCGATGCATTCAAGGATAGCTTCATTAAAACATATAACGGAACGAAAGACCCATCTTTTGAACAAGAAAACTGGAGTAATCTAAACTCATGGTGCAAACAATATTTTAGAAACAACCCAATCAATGAGGAAGATAACACAGAATTCGAGAAATACTTTCAAATATTATCCAATCAGAAAAACTTCGCTCCAGGATTGGACATGATCCCATGGCAAATTGTGAAAAAACTAGAATATAATATACAGTCTGTTCGCTATACTTACGCGGGTTTCGGATTAACAAAATATGCAAATTAGTCATTGACAACCAGTTCCAATAAGCCTCTTCCCAAGAAATTAGGTAAAATTGCCCTAATGGTCAGATTTAAATTAGAAAAACATTAGGGAACTGGTTGTCAATGACTAATTTGCATAATTTTGTTAATCCGAAACCCGCGTAAGTATAACGAACAAACTGTACATATCTATATTATAAAAATGTTTGTATTCTGTTACAAAAACTTGTACTTTCCAGATCAATGGAAAAAAGTCACTAGGCACAGACCACAAAAGAATTGATAATTACAGACCAATCACCTTTTTTCCAGTTTTGGGAAAACTAAAACTTCTTAATGTACTTAATGGTATTATAATTCTTATAAAAACTTCCTTCAAAACAGAACTCTACGTTTCATAGCAAATCAAGGTGTACCGCAAGGGTCGCCACTATATCCGCTCCTTTACAACATATATTGCTTTGATTTTCCTTCAGGTCAGTTACGACTCAATGCAGTAAATTACACACTTCAATACGCAGATGACACGGCCTTGATATCGCATGGAAATACGCTGAATCAAACCATCACAGCACTACAAAATCAATATAACGAAGTTGCTCAATGGAGATTACAAGTTAACCCACAAAAATGTCAATTAATGATACCCTATCATGATCTAAGACCGACATCACCTCCACTCATCATATCTAACCAACCAATGTATCCCGTATTCTCAGTGAATACCTAGGCCTTATTATTGATAAAAAGCTGAACTTCAATGAACACACCCGCAGAAAAAGAAACAAAATTAAAACCAGAGCCAAACATTTCCGCTCTTTAACATACAAAAAAGAATGTATCAACATCTACAAAACAATTTTAAGACCTCTCCTGGAATACGGCCACACTATATAAACTGCTGAAAACCTGCATTAAAAAAATATTCAAGTAGCCGAAACTTCTACACTAAAAATCATTACCAAGATGCGACATCCTGAAAACCCCACTCACCATCCAGCGAATGAATAGCTTTACGAAAAAACTAAGATTCAGCCTATACTGGAAAGAATTAGAAAACTGTCAAAAACTTTCTCGAAGAAACGAAACAATCGCATGCTAATAAACATTTTTTCGATGCAACGACAAATTGGTCAAGCAAAGTTTAAATACTCAGTGAGATCAATAACAGAAATCTTAAACGAATTTGCCGATGAACAATAATTTAGTGACACATATTGTTTTTTTAAGTATCTTAATATTCGTATTAATTTTACACATATAGCTTGTAAATCCTCATACATACCATACAAATTGTACTAGCTGAAGGACCTAGGTCGATGGACATTTGGTTGGAATATTCATAACCAATAAAGTGCTTTTATTTGTATTATTTAAACAAATATATACATAAGTGTTTTCTCATAATATTGTAACCACTAAACAATCAGGTTTTCTAAAGGGATATGGTACTACAACATTACTCTTGGATTTACCAGATAACATTATAAGATCAATGGACGAAGGAAAGGCTACAGCAGTTACTCTCCTTGTCTTTTCTAAAGCGTTTGACAAATCCAAATATTTTGGTTTCGATGAAACCTCACTAAAATTTTTCAAATTTTATTTAAGTAACCGTTACCAAAAAGTAACACTAGAGAAATCGTCTAACTTCACGTGTGTAACATCAGGAGTACCCCAAGGCTCTGTCCTTGGTCCTCTTTTGTTTTCCATATATATATTTCAGATCTTTAAAAATTATTGCTTACGACACGCAACTACATTATTTCTTTGAGCCATGTGAAGTAAATATAGGTTCGCAAACCATAAATACAGTATATACATTTTCTATGAATCATAACCTTAAAATAAATGCCAGTAATGTACAATATTATTTTGTCCTACAGATATAGAACATAATGTGCAACAAAGTTATTCATTTAAAATGAACCTCTAAAATCATGCAGAACCAGAACATAGTTATTTTAATTGTTTTATATAAAAAGGGACACAAAAAATATCACTATTTATGTCGTGATGTATGAAATCTTTTTAGATTTCGGTAGAGCCGACAACCTCGCATCAAAAATGTATGTTATAAAGACTAGTAATTGATGTTTTGCCCGTGTTCAAGGCTTAAAGGTCAGGGATGCTAATTTTAAATTCTGTATATTTTTATTTTTAATCAGCATTGTTGTTGAACAGCTCTGGTTTAACCTTAATGGCCGTAATTCGCTACAATAGCCGAATTATATTAGAAACGATAACGGTCCGAAATCCTTTATAATATATATATAATATAAGTACCAATAGTCTGTTTTTGCCAAGTAATATCTCTGGTACTTCGAAGGATTTTAAAAAGATTGTACATACAGAATGGATTAAAAGACAGTGCTGACAATAATTCCATGCTTTAACGATATTTTTACTAAATTAAACGTTTGTAATCGTATAAAAAGTACATGGTCCTTTAACAAAACACAAGTTTTTAAAGAAATTTCAAGTAGTTTCCCTACACTCATTTATATTAGAATCAAGTAAATCCCCAAATAAATTAGTTTTTTTCAAAATTACACCAATAATTAAAAAGCAGTCCTTAATGATAAAAATTGTTTAATATCATGTCATTTATTTTTATAGATTTATAAGCCATTCAAAAAAATAGTTTTTTTTTTTTAATTTTAAAAATGTATATCGTCTAAAATATAAACTTTATCAAAATAATTTATAGAAACTTTTTTATTTGTATTAAAGTAAAGAATATGAACAAAATTTGTCCCGTTTAAAAATAACAGTTTTTAGTAATATTGTTAAAAAAATTTCATTTTAAACAAAATGGGAACACATTTCTCCATGGCAAACTGCACTCATATAATATTTGGCATATTTTTAAAGAGTTCGGACAAACAAATTGCGTCCGAATAGTTTTCACCATTTCTGTACCGATTCCTCCTAGACTAAATACAGTTTTTATTCCTGGAGAATAAATTTGTCTCTCAGTGTATCTCCATTTGTTTTTTACAAAAAAAAGTGTAGCACACATAGAAGACATCAGTATTAATGCTGAGGTATTAAGTGGTATGAAGCAAAATACATGAATCAATATTTATTTAAATATTATAGGGTAAATCTCACGTGATGGGGAAAGGAGATCTCACGACATCTTACCAAATATACCAAGAAAGATAAGAGGTCCAAATTAAAAAAAAAAAAAACACCTCACCTAATTAATGGAATACTTTTAGTGAATACTTTAAAGAGTTTTAGATTTTTGATCCGCATAAACTTTTTAGAGAATCTCTAAATTTCTAATTTCTAAACTAAAGAAGTGAAATCGGAAAACTCAAATAAATGTTTTTTTTTTTTTAAACCAAGCAATAAAGTAATTTGTATAAATATTATGTTTTAAAAGCAGTGGCGTGTCAAAGCAACAATTTGAAAGAAACACTCTTTAGTAAGCATTAAAGTTATTAAATCAAAATATGTTTCTCGAGAAAGTTTAACATCCTGTATGTTTGATAACACGGCAAAAAATAAACTGTTGTACATTAATATATTAATAATTTTATCTTGCGCGAATTTTGGAAATGCCAAATAAAATAAAAAGAAAAAAAATTGTAGGAAGCTCTTTAATATTACATACATTCATTCGTAAATCTTCTCTTTCCCGATGTTTGCAGTAGTCCAAAACAATAACAAAGTAATTAATAGGAGTTAAAAGACTTACCACTGGAAAAAACGCCACTGGAAGACGAAGGCGCATTATTTGAGGTGTTTCTACTAAGACCTGAAGTGCGACTCCGAGAACCCCTAGGCCTGCCTCTTCTCGAAGAGCCCCTGCCTGTGAGCCTTGGCTTTACTGTCGATCCATATACATTGTAGACCGTATATTCTGCAATAAAATTATTGTTTTTATTGCTAAACATGTCGTTTAAAAAAATTTTAAATTCCTTTATATCTTAAATCATGTATACAAAAAAAAATTAAACACGATATTGCTGAAAAATCATGACCAATTTTTAGACAAAACAAAACATTTTAAGACGGAAGCTATCTAAAAACTAAAACTATGCAGAATCTTGCAGAAGATTCATGTCTTTAACCATGCGCCGCCACTGGTTTAGTATAAAATAGTGACTTACTGTTCGTAATCGGTGAGTCAGCATCGTCATTGTACATATCCGCAACATCGTCTCCCAAATCATTAGAATGGACACTTCGAGGGCTGTTAGGTGCACTTTCAATGGTAGTAGTATTGACACCATCTTCTATGTTAAACGCCGGTTCTTGCTTAAATCTTTTGACTTCTAAACTACTTGGTATTGTCTGTAAAGAGGGAAAATATACCTGCCTTGTTTATTTTAACCCAATTTAAAACCAATTATGTAGGTGTTAAGAGATTAGAAGTAATAATTATAAGTAGGAACTACCTGCAGGTAGGTACCAAATGGATAATTAGTTAAATCCTCATCACAAAGAATGTATAAGTCATAAAGCCATAATGATGCAACTAAATAAAATGAAACAACTAATTTTAAACCATACCTTATACTGTAACTTTCGTTTTCTCTCTAATTCTTTAGCTTCCTCCGAAGGATTCTCGATTTTCAAATGATCTGAAAAGGGAACCGTAATTATAGAATTAAAATATTTAAGGAATTATTTTACATGACTTACATTTTTGAACTAATTCGTCATCATCTAGCAGCAAAGATACAACTTCTTTGGGCTTGAGCGTATCTGGTTTAAAGTTTCCTCCGCTGATGACTAACTTTTGAATCTGTAACAAAATAATATTTCACAATGAAGACGTGTGATAACTCAAGAATTAGGTCAACAAATACTATACTTTTTGAGTATTGCGTGTTTTTTTATCAATTATTCAGGAATTTATATAAAAAATGTATCAAATTTGAAATAAAAAAAAGTCTTTTCAACTTCTTCTATTTGTCCGCAGTTTATTTGGACTTCTTTTAAAAATCCGACGATTTTCCAAAGGCCTGTTTTTTGCAGTGTGTGTGAGATTGGAGTTTGTGACTGCGGATATAATCTATTAGCCTATTATGTGTTTTTTGCAGTAATTAAGATAACATTTGTGATAACTGTTCATTATAAAATGTCCAAATACACAAAATATAAATTAAAATTCAAGATAAAGTATTTTTAATATTTAAAATCTTAATTATTATAAATGACTTTATCGATAAAAATCTGACAAATTCATTCATCAAAACAAAGAACGCTTACCTCGCTTTTTTCTCTAGCCCTTTGAAGGATACGCTCTTCAATAGAACCTTTACAAATTAATCTGTAGACTGTCACCTGCTTGGTCTGACCCAATCGGTGGGCCCTGTCCATCGCCTGTTGGTCCACAGTGGGGTTCCAATCACTGTCATAAAAAATGACCTGAAACAAAACAGCCAATTTATATAAGAAGCGCTCTCTCTATACAGGGTGTCGATGATAATAATTATTAATGTGTGAAGAGGTAGTTCTAAACTTTCACTCCAGAAAGACATTTGGGAATGAATTATTAGTTCATTTACGTTTTTACTTGTACAATAGGGTAAATAAATAAATTAAATATATAAATAAATAAATTAAATTAAATAAATACTAAATAAATAAATAAATAAATAAATAATTAAATAAATAAATAAATAAATAAATAAATAAATAAATAAATAAATAAATAAATAAATAAATAAATAAATAAATAAATAAATAAATAAATAAATAAATAAATAAATAAATAAATAAATAAATAAATAAATAAATAAATAAATAAATAAATAAATAAATAAATAAATAAATAAAAAAATAAATTAATTAAATAAATAAATAAATACTAATAAAATTAAATATTTTTTCATGTTTATTTCATTTTATAAATTAGTAAACGTCATAAATTATTTTAAAATTAGTAATTTTGTCTTAATAACCTAAATTAGTTTTTAAAATTTGTAGATTTTCATTAGTGGGACGTAGAAAAATATACTGTACAAATCGGGTTTGTCAAACTACTATTCTGCATTATAAACCATTTTGAATCATCGAGGAGGATCCTCAATACATCACACAATAAGACAAAACTGACTAAACAAGACTAAAATACATTATTTTATTTATTTTAAGAATGTCAAGAGATAATGTATTTCTAATTTGTCTGAATAGAAAAGAAATTAAAGTACACTTTTTTTGACATATTCGATGTGGTTTTCTCAATATATTTATTTAGTTTTATAAAATATAATGATAAAATTTGTATCATTTGCATTGTTATTAGATAGACATGTACTGCATAAGACATTCGTAAACATAAAGAAAAGTACTGGCCTAATATGGAGCCCTGCGGTATACCAGCAGATATATATATTTTTTTATACTTGTTTTATGATTTTCGACAACTACTACAAAAAAATTTTCCGACCCCAAAATGCACTTATATATGTATATATTCAGATCTTTCAAGAAAATATATTTTTCGGACTAGTGACGATGTACGTTTTCATACATTCGATGGGCTTGTGTGGAAAAATCTGGTAAAATCTCGATTTTTCCTTAGAAGATTACGCCCTTATATTTCAACCCTTTAGCCACGTGCAACATTAAAACCTTCGGTTTTCCGAAGACTAGTTCTATTAATTAATCATATAGTGAAAACGGCTTGCGTGGAAATATGGGTAACAAATAACCTTTTATTTTTGTTGAGGAAAATCGAATTTTCCATGTGTTATCTCCAAGAGCCACTTGTAAATTTACTTTCATTCTACTTAAAATCGATGTACTTTTCAACCCTCTTCGAGGCTTGTATACGAAAATGGGGCTCCTAAACCTGTCACTATCTGACGGTCTATTAAATCTCCTACAAATTTTACGAGCTCATCACTAATTTTTAAGAAGTTTTGAATGTCTAATGGTGTTGTTGGATATAAGTAAAGCGTTCTAGCTTTAAAAAGATGATAGATTTTTTCATTATCAGGGAATGGATAATAAAAGTCATTAAATTTTCCAACAAAATTACCGAATCCTGAAATTTTAACATCGTTTATACCTTTAAGCATAAATAACAAAATGTCAGTGTAATGTTAAAAGTTAAAAATAAAATAAATAGGTACTGTTTTGGAATAATTCTTTACAAAAGACGAAACAAATATATAAACAGACCCATTAGGGGTAGTTTAGCAGTTGCGCTTGAAAAGGTTACATGAGGGGTGAGACATGTTCAGAAAAGAAGAAAAGAAAGAACGAAAAACTTGATGGGTAGTTTTTCTTTTGTAATAAGGGGCAAATATTTTAAGAGCAAACCGGACCTCTCGCGAAAATAAAAAATGTGAGCATTTTCTAATATAAAATATTATTTATAAGCGCGCCACTGGTAATACTTCGCGATTTGTGCAACGATAAGTAAGCATTCTAGCAAATTTTCAAAGATTTAATACAGAATTGCGCATAAACGTTTTTTTTATTCATTTCAAAAATTATTAAAATAAATACTTTTAGAAGGTTTAGACAAAAAAAAATATCAAGGTTTCTCCACCATAAGTTTTGTTTTTAATGGCATTTTCTGAAAATTTCACAAAAACGGACCAAAAATAAAGAATTATAAATTTTCAAAGTATTCGTTTTGCTCTTATAAAATATTATGTTCTCAGGACAGTAGGTGTGAACGCATTGTAGCCAGGAAAAATTAAATTAAAATTAGTTCATGTATACAACAATTAAAATAGATTTATAGCGCATGTCAGATCTGCATAAAACAGAAATAAGAAATGACTCAGATAAGTACGTACTGTTAGAAAATATACTGTTACACACACTTGTCCAAAATTACGATCTTTAATCTGTGACATTAATTATTGTTATTACTTCATAAACTACCTTTTTATATTTCATAATTACTTGTTCAGCTTGTTTAGGAGACAAAATATTGTATAAAATATTTTTTTTATAAGTACATAGGTATATGAAGTGTTTTTTTTAATTTTATAAATATATGAAAAATTCACGCGATTTTTGTTTTGAAATGTTTTTTTTAATTCATTTTGAAATAAGTATACTTACAATAAATTATCACCCCGTATATTATAATTTCCTTTTTTATTTATTTAAATTTTGATATCTGGCCATCTAATAAACAAAAATATCTCTTTTATAACATTGTCGGAATTAGGAACAGCCTATAAACTTTCGACATTGTTTTTGAAATTCCTGTTACATTTTTTAACAATTTTGACATTTAAAATATGGGAATGGCTAGAATCAGACCTGAATCTTGGGTCTTCGAAGACAAATAAAATTAGATAACACTATTATATAAGATGCATTTACTTCAAGAGTGCAGAACAATTCCAAAGTTACGTATAGTGTTGCTCATCCATTTTATATACGAATAAATTTGCCATTATCAATTACTTTAGAAAGCTGCCGTTATTTTAATAAAATTCGCTAATCGCAGTTCATCTAAAAAAATCCTAGCGATTTTGTTTATTGAAAATAGTTCCTAGTTTTCAACTTTAAAATAGGACATGACCAAATGAGTAAACGATATTTATGCAGATATAAAAGTTCAATGATTCAATAAATTCTAAGACCTGTCTCATATAGCTACCTAATATTCAAAATTGATGAATTTGGGGTAGCTACTGAAAGCTATATCACGTAAATTCAAGCCTGTAGTGGGATATCGTATGACAAAAACAGAAACCCCGACCGACGACCGACAAATTCATACTTAAAAGAGAAGCGAAATTGTTCTTTGAATAATATACCGGAAGAAGCTAGTACTCTATGCCATTTCCTGCCTTGCGCACGTGTGAGGGTGGCACGTATCCAAAATCTGAAGTAGCACAGTAGCTGAATCAGAAAACCCTTCAATCGAGTACTTTCTTATAGATTCCAAAACCGCGATACAAAAGCCCTTTTCCGGAAGGGGGACGCACCTTATACGCATATGAGATAAGGGCGAATTTGCAAGGTTAAATGTGACGAGGTGGGTGGGTGAAATGCGAGAGGTAAAATTATCCTATCTTTGTGAAAATATTGGATAACAAGTAATAATATTGTGTCGATTAAATCAGTCCTTTTTGAAGAAATTTATGAATGGTATATTGGGTGGTTAAAAGGATATGAGTACAAAACTAAATTGTACGAGGGAGATGCTGAATTTTCATAGATACAATTTTGTCTAGCATCTTCATTACATTTCTCTATCATACCACGGGTGGAATAGTTTAGATATATAATTTATTCAGCATGTTACTCGTCCTAGCGCCATTATCAGTATTACCACGCCCAAAGGTAAAAAAAAACTAATACATAAAAATTAAATCAACTGATAATTTTACAATCCTTATGGACTATTTCTTACTGAAAAAAATTGTATATGAGATATACTTGTTACCAGTTTATTTCACAAACTTTGCACTTTGCTTTACGAGTGCAAAATACTTGTGTTTCATAAAGTAATATCTTTGCATATTATTCATTTTTCTTTTTCATTTTGCAAATTGCTTTTCAAATTTTACTTTTTAACTGTCTAATTGCTCTTTTATCACACATACATTTACTAAAATATGCAAAAGCAAAATGAAAAGTTGTAAAGTAGTTTTATGAAATAGGTCCCTGGTAGCTAATTTATTTTTATATTCCCATCATTTTTAGACAAGATGGCGCATCCTATACGCGTCGGTCTCTGTAGGGAAAACGGCTTAACATTTAAATGTGTTTATTAACAGGGATATACAAAGTCATAAACACTACAAATTAAAAATAATTTTGATCCAAAAACTAGAATGAAGATATATAATGCTTGGCATTCTATATAAAGATATAAGACAGTTAAACAAACCCCCCCTTTAACCCTCCCATTTTTAATCAATTTTTTTTTAATCAATAGACCTCGTCCCATTGTAGAGCTTGATTTTCCTGAAAATTTCAAGTTGATATTGTTTTTCGTTTTTGTTTTATGATTTTTTTTAAGTTTCAACCCCCCCTTATTATGTCCCTTTTTATTAAGATTTTTCAAAATCAATAAGCTTTGTCTCCTCATAGAGCTTGATTTTTAATAAAAATGTCACGTTGATTTATGAATTTTTTAAATTTCAACCCCCATATTTTTGATCAGATTTTTTAAAAATCAATAAGCTTATTCTCATTGTAAAACTTGATTTTTCCTGAAAATTTCAAATTCATATTGTTTTTTGTTTTATTTTATGATTTTTTTAAAGTTTCAATCCCCCCTTAACCTCTCCATTATTAATCAGATTTTTTTCAAAATCAATATACTTCGTCCCCTTATAGAGATTGATTTTTCCTGAAAATTTTAAATTCATATCATTTTCTTTTTTGACTTATCGTGCGGACAAAAAACGTGACATCGGACGGACTGACATTTTTAAAAGTTG